TCTTTTTTCCCTTTGGGGGCTGCAGGGTTACCAGATCACCCGCCACGTAACCCAGTAAATACATGAACTCCTATCACCTGTTGTTAAGCATGTCTTTAATCTTAAAGGGTGGAGTGGAGAAGATACATGCACTCTAGGCTCTTCCTCGGTACGTTGGTGGTACGTGTCTGAGCTTTAGCGTGGCCAACTGCATCCAGTGATGATAGCCTCCAGAAGTTTGTATCGGGGCCACTGCCTGTTTTTGTTGATAAAGTTTTATTGGCACACGGCCCCTTGCTCATTTATGCATCCCACGGTCTGTGCATGTTTCCATGGCCACAGCAGAGTTGAGTAGTTGCCTCAGAGCACAGAAAGGTTTTGCTTTCTGGCTCTTGGCAGAAAACATTTGCCAACCCTGTTCTATTCTAGAATGTTCACCACAGCAGGTGCAGCCTCTGCCCATCAGAGCTATGGTGTGTGCAGCTGTGTGTCCACGAGGGTAATTCTCTTCTGAGAGCTGTGTGTGTGCAGAGATTTTTGGGAGCCCCAAGACTCTCCTTTCTGCTCTAAAGATCTTCGAAGAGCCGTTACTCATTTTTAAAAGTCAAAAAGTAAAAATAGGCTAGGCACGGTGGCACATGCCTGTAATCCCATCGCTTTGGGAGGCTGAGGCAGGTGGTTCACTTGAGGTCAGGAGTTTGAGACCAGCCTGGCCAACATGGTGAAACCCTGTTTCTCCTAAAAATACAAAAGAAAAAAAAATAGCCGGGCATGGTGGTACGCACCTGTAATCCCAGCTACTCATGAGGCTGAGGTAGGAGAATTGCTTGAACCTGGGAGGTGGAGGTTGCAGTGAGCCAAGATCGCACCACTGCGCTCCAGACTGTACAACAGAGCAAGACTCGGTCTCAAAAAAAAAAAAAAAGTATAAACAAACAAGGAGAAGATTTTGAGAAGGTCTCTCCTTCCTCTCTTTGGTGTGTGCTTTCCTCTCAGTCTGACTACTGGGAGCAGCCCTCGCGTGTTTCCACCGCGTCACACCTTGCACACTTGCATGCACTTTCACATGTCCCTTCAATTGTCTGCACGCAGTCCCAGGCAGGAGTGACACTCTCCTTTGCTTCATCACTCAGATTATTTTTGACTTTTTGCAAAATTTAAATCTTGAAATAATGTGCTGTCCCTAAATTTAAAGTGTAAAGCCCTAAGAACTCAATGAACTGGTTTTCATATAAAAGCACTTTGGAAAAAACGGTGACAGATATTATTATTTTTTTGTTTTATTAAAAAAAGAAAAAAAAAAACCTCTACCAAATATAGCAATTCTCTTTGGCTTTTGTTGAGTAAGTGGCTGGGTGAGAAACAAATTGTATAATATTTTATTATTGTGCGTTACATGCCTATCAGCTTTAGAGAGACACCTCTCTTGTTCATCCCAGATGAAGACAAATTTAAGATTAAAAAGTGGGGAAAGGCCAGGCACAGTGGCTCGTGCCTGTAATCCCAGCACTTTGGGAGACCTGAGGCGTGAGGATTGCTTGAGCCCAGGTGTTCAAGACCAGCCTGAGCAACATGGTGAAACCCTTTCTCTAGAAAAATACCAAAATAAGCTGGGCATGGGTGCA